CGCCTTTATTCTCGTTATTACGCCTTTTAATTCGCGTTATAACGCCTTTATTCGCGTTATTACGCCTTTTGATTCGCGTAATAACGCGAATAAAGGCGTTACTACGCCTTTTGATTCGCGTTATAACGCCTTTATTCGCGTTATGACGCCATTTGATTCGCGTTATAACGCGAGTAACGGCGTTACTACGCATTTTGACTCGCGTTATAACGCCTTTATTCGCGTTATTACGCCTTTTGATTCGCGTTATAACCCCTTTATTTGCGTTATTACGCCTTTTGATTCGCGTTATAACGCCTTTATTCGCGTTATAACGCATTTGCATTTTTATTTTTTATTTTATTTGACACTATTAGGCTTTCGTACGTTAGCAAACACTTCGGAAACTTTAAAATATTGATCACGATCTTCTCGTAATAGACTTAAGGTAATTATAATAATATCAAGTTGTTCCAATATAACTTGTGCATTACCTTCGATTGATTTAAGTAAACATCTACCAGTCTTTGTGTACATGCTATTACGACAGGGCATTTAAATTTACAGTTTGATCAATAGATATTACAAAGAAAATAAAATATTCAGTATTTCTTTCAATTTTAACGTTCTAAAATATTTACCATTGTTGTAAAGATGGTGTCATATAATTGAAACGGAATTGTTCAATGTGTGTTTTGTATTTTATATTAGATTCTTTAGAAACTCTTAACGTAATGCATTGAATGTTATTTGTTTTCGTGATATTCACTAAGACTACTACACTGTCTATTGTCGTATTATAAATGAAAATGTCATATTTATGTCAAAACATAACACGTGTTTAAATTTGCCTAAGGGTAAAAGAAGTTATGCTGGATATTGTTGTCCTATTTTAAACTTTGAAAACAAATACGCAGTGATTAAAAAATATTTATCTTGAGATATCGATAGAGACCTTTTGTATAGCATTTTAAATGTCGGATACTTGCAAACGAGGTTAATAAAGATGAAAATTTAACCGTTGGCACAACATATTCTTAATTGCACATAACAATAACTATACTTTATTTGGATTGCTCTAAACATAAAGGACACACACATTTCAATTGCCATTTTTATTATCTAAGCTCTATATATTTGCGTATTATTTTCCTTTCTCTTTTTTATTATCAATCTTACTTTTAGATATACCGAAGCAGTAAAAATCCGTCTCGTCTCTGCTTGCAGAGAATTTACATAACAATGCATAAAGGTTTACGTAATTTTACAAAATAACATTCCTAATAAAATGGTAGGAAACGCCGTTCAGCCGGTTATTCATTTTTATAAACGTAATTAAAACATCTAGATTCCCTACTGAACAAAAGAGGACCTTCTGGATAATGTTTATCTGTAGAAACATATACACTGACTTCTAGCTTTGTTCACAAAAATAGTATTTCAATTTTATATTTATGTAAGTAAACCAAATTAAAACATGGTGGATAACGTGCGCCTGAGGCTCCTATTTTTAAGGTTTTCTGTCGTCCATTGCGTTATCAAATGTTATCAAAGTCTCTATAAGTGTTGACTTAGAGCAGGTGGTGAACGGGTAGTAATGGTCAAATATTGTAAATTGTATAATATGTTGCCATCATTAAACAATTGATTGATGACGATATACGATGTAAGTACAATAGATATTTGTATATGACGTATTTATCTGAAGATACTACAGATATAACGCGAACAAGCTATACAAGATTTTTTTATGTGCGCTGTATTCCTCCTTTGCTCACAAACAAGCAGAAACAAACTAGGGTTAGGATGACGTCGAAAGTAATTGCAAATTATGATTCATGTCATCATTATCATTCGGAAAAAAGCAGATACAGATAAGATAGAAATCTGTACTTATCAAGGAAATATATATCAATTCTGAGTGCATTGTTGTAGAATAATTCACGGTTTGAATTCAAATGTGTAGGAATATAATCACTCAGGCCGATTAATTACAAAACATGTAAACGATAAACCGTGCATTATTATATTATAATGCAATAAAAAAGAATATCTATTTCCATTCTAACACGTTAAGAAAAAAATGCAATAGGGGGTTAAATTTGTTTTCGCCTGCAAGATTCCAATAGAAACGTTCTTGAAAGGCTGTTCCAGGCGGTTGAAAAAACAACTGTCGTTAAGTCCGACGTTTGGAGAAATATTTTGAGAATAACGAATTTTTAAATCGTTGATAAGAAATGTTTATTTTATTTCACTTTATACATATGAAGCAAAATACATAGTTTTTATAGTGAAATAAATATGTAATGAAACAGTTTTTCGATATTGAAATTGCGTTCTTGATTTTTCACGCGCTGTTGGGCACTACATTGTGACGTCACGTAAACAACACTTAAAACGTCTGTACAGCATTAATGACTAAATTTAAAGATATACATTTTCGGATTTATTTTCTTAGTTAGACCATTTTCTATCATTCTTTAACAAACTTCAACAATGTGTCGGTTTGCAAACAAAGCGGGAGAAAATAAGAACGGCGAGAGCATTGTTCTGGCTAAGATCACTTCCTAACCACGTCCGAAACTTTTGTCAACCTCATAAACAATCTCCTTTATTGGTCAATACCAATACAGTGTAAACATTTACAGATACTCCAGTAAATTAATACTACAAGGGATCTAACCGGAGGAAAAAAATGTTGGATGAAACCTACCAGCTGTTGAGGCCATTAAAATACAACATTTTGTTTTACAGTCAATTCTTCGGAAAAACGCGTTCAAGATAAAATTTAGAAAATTAAATTGATACTAAATAATGGCCTTAGATTATAGAATCGTAAAGAAACAGTACATAACACATATATGTTGCATTACACGAAGTAACGAAATGAAAATTGAAAGACCGATTTCTATTTCTATTTCATTTGCTAAAGACATGTTCATTATATATAAGAACATTTTTGCATCTAATGAAAATAATTTCCGTTTCTACATATAAGTCTTTCAAAAGCTCTGCAAATATATATTTTTAATAACTGAGGTTTTCGTTTCAAATAAAGGTAATTGAGATTAATTAATAAATAAACACTATCATATTAGGATATTTGTAAATGACATTTACTTTACCCTCTTGCTAAAGAAAGAAATTGAGGGTTTTGTTGTTTTTGTAGTAGTTTTTTGTATGTTTTTTTTTTCAAATGTATGTCAATCATAGAATTTAACTTTGAATTATAAATAGCTTCTGTGATATCAAACCTCGTGTTAATATGTGATTTGCATTCAATAAAATACTTCTAAAACACATGATGAAATATTCCCTGTCTGTGTAATAACAAATGTTAAATTACTGACAAAATAAATACCTCTAATGATAATTATAAGCATTTGCCAATTCTACATGCCTTGGGCAAATACGAAAAGTAGTAAAACTGAGTCGAATCTACAGTTTCAAGTTTGAAAGTAATTAAAAATCACTTCCCCAATATGTTAAAGCAGTACATTCTCCCTTGGTAAACATGCATTAGTAGACATGTACCCATAGGTAAATATGATAAAGGACAAAACGTCCCAAAACAAACATAATAAAGAACTTAAACCTCATATGTCAAATATTTTAAAGCGGGCAAACCTCTGATGGCAAATAGAATAAAGTAGATAAACACCCATGGGTAAAATATGATAAAGGAGTAACGCTTCACTGAACATACCTGACAATATAGTCAAACTTTCAGTGGTAAAATACATATGAAAAGGTAGTTAAACATCAATTTGCAAAATATGATAAAGCAGTCAAACTATTCATGACAAATATTTTCCCATGACAAATTGAAATACTGTGTAACCTCTGCAGAGTGTTCGTTTGAACAGAAAAATCTTCTTTTCAACCGTTTCATAATTTCATTAGATAAAATTTCACAATAATTTTAACGTCAAAAGAGCAACAACAACTAATCTTTGTCAACAAAATGTTGTTTCTTTTCTCCAAAGAAGTTTAACTTAAGTAGAATAAACTCGTAAATTATAAAGCAGTACAATATCCATTGACATCAATGGTTTATAAATAATATTTCGAATATCCTTTGAATGAGTAGTGATAATGACGGTGTAACGTTGTTTTTTTTAATTGTGCTGAAGTAGAATTTATTTTCCCGCTATCACGTTATTTCTTCTATTCATACAAAACATTCACTGACATATCAATAACAAATCAATACTATTCTATCAAAAAGTGTTATTTCATAACTATTGCTATTAAATACTATACAATTATTGACAATTTATTAATTGAATATGATGAGATATTCACCGGTATAATGTCATATGCAATCGTTTGTAGACATAACCATGAAACAACAAAAGAGTATTTAAGCAGACACAAACTAAGCTTAGGATGACATGAACTGTAATTACGTCTCCCGAAATACTGAAGTAACCTTTATCTTCCAGATGAATATTTTAATGCATAATTTAATGCATAATCTATATGGAAATTCAAGTTATTTCCTCATCACTGACTTATATCAATAAAAAGGAGATACGTTTCTATCAATTAAATTAATGCTAATACTATAATTATATGTTGTACTATTTAATACTGTACAGTAATTGACTATAAATGATGTTATATTAACCGATAGAATGTAATATCCAATTGTTTGTAGACCAAACCATCAAACAGCAAAAGTGTGTATGCCAACAAATCTAGTAATCTACATAAGACAAAACAAGATTTGTATGGGTAGACCCGTCAAAAATTGAGAAACAAGCATGTCAAGTCTACATTCAAATATTATGTAGGTTTATTCAGAAATGATAAGGTTTAACTTAATACAAAAGTTTTGAACAAATACATATATTTCGTTTATAATTGGTAACAATTTTATATCAGCTAGATATACCAACCTTTATTCATCGAACATACAATATGTTAACTCTCAAATAAACCTATCACTGTTTCCTATTGACATTTGTCTTCATCACAAATTGCGTACATTTCTAATCAATAGATTTAATAAAACATACCGTATGTTTTCCTCTTGATGTGAATGTTTATCCTGGGCTCTCCGCGGCCATCTTGACATGTCTCCAATGTAATGGCTTATGAAAATCTTTAGATACTTGTTGTTAACATGGATCGATATTGATTATTCAAATTGTATTTCAGAACGCTAGCAACTGAATGTGAAATAAAACTACCACGTGACTTTGTTACATTTAATAACGCCCAGTCGTTGCGTATTAAGTAAATAGGATAGTTGCTTTAAATCGTTTATTTATTTAAATGTATATCAGATAGACTGGTCCGTCAAGACCATAAATATCGCCGGTATGAAACCAATATATATTTAAAATATCGCAGTTTTGATGAAAAAGTGATAAAAAAAGAAACAAAACTTTAAAAGGGCGAATTTAAACATAGTAAGCAATTCAAACGGATACTGTCCAATTTTTTGCGCTTCAAAGAGATATACTTACTATGTACCTGTTGATAACAAATTATCATGTTGATTATATGCAAAATAAATGATTAATTGATCAATAAGCATCTTACAGTATTATCAATTCAAAACATATATAATTAACTTATTAATGCTGGAAGAAACGAAAATAAAAAAATAAAATAGATACGAAATCGCTAATCTGATTTTATATTTTAAACAATTTATACAATGTTTTTTTCTGTTGTATGTTTATGATGCTTTATATTATAATCATCGGTCTTTAAAAGTATTTGCTAAAGTGATAATTAATTATGTGAGATCTAGTTCAATTCATTTCAAAGCTTTAAAGACAGTTCTCTATATAATGCTTATGTTTCTAATTATTTGTTTCTTGAATTATTTTAGATAACTAATTAATTTGCATCCTGCTCTTACTTCAGATTTTTAAAAATGTTGTCCTCAAACATTGAATTAATACATTGTATACCGAATCGATTGTCTAGATAAGCTGCGGTACATATTGTTTGCATGAAGATTGGAACAATAAGGTTAAGTATTGGATATAACATTCAAATAAAAGTTATATCAATCTTTTATAAAATCATATTGTAATAGAATATTTCAAAATATTAATAATGATATCATATTTTTTCCCAATACATTTATTCACGAAAACATGTATATTAATCAGTCTTTATTTGCTTGATAAAGGATTCGTATTACTCTGGGTGTTTTCTTTACTAAACTGTTTTAATAAATACACATCTATCCATCTTGAAATAGTGCTAATTCTAAAGAGCAAATATCAGTGAAACCTTCTTCTTATAACTAAATTGAAAGCCGCCTACTTAATCAAAAAGAAAAATAGTTCATAAATAAAAAGATAATATAACTTTTTTAATAACTTTCATTTCCATAATTAAAGATTTTTTTTGTAACGTGAACGAATATGTTTACGAACTTCAATAATTTCAAAGTTCTAAAGTAAACATAACAAAGAAGACAGATTTTATTAAATAATTGATTGAAGATTAAATTATGAAGAATTTGCAATCTGCTCATAATTTACCACGATACATAGATTCCCATGTCATAATCAATGTCGTATTTATGTAAGTACCATCCAAGTATTATCCCTTTCTTATTTGATAAAAAATTCTCGGCAGTTGAGGAGAGAATGATACAGTTGACAGTTTATTTCTATCGTGAGCTATGGTTGTAGGAAAATATTCTCATTAACTATTTTAATCAACAAACATTAAAATGTATAGCATATCAATAACATTTAATTGACACTCATGATAATTGTCATGTCCCAAATAGAAAAAAAAACAATATATTCACAATTTGTTTATCATTTGGAAAAGGATAAATGGCTTAGGTTAGAGATCGCTGAAACAAAAGAACAGAGGGTCGGTGCTTATACGGTGCTCAGGTATCCGCTTCTGCTTGAAATAATTGACAGTAGAGTACCAGAGTACGTTTGGGTTTATATATTGCCTCATAATAAACTTGCGAAACAGATATAGAAATATAGTACATATAAAGATGTTTGCAGGGTGTTACTAGTGATCTAGTGTACTACTAATGGACCGATTAAACAAAAACACATATTTGATAAAAAAAAACATAAAAAAACAACCAAAAAAAAACAACATAAAAACAGTAAATTTCTATTGATAAAGTATATCGAACCCGTAATACAGGTATTGGATATTTTTACAATTAAGTGATTGAGAAAGACACAAAGAACACACTGGTCAACGTTAATAAAATATATATGTAGATTTTATTTGAATGCAAGATTCATTTAAAAATTGGAAAAACAGATTTATATTGACGTAATATATTTAACTGTGCTAAAAATAATGCAGCATTAAAAATAACTAAATAGGAACGCACGTAAATAATAATCTAGTACTTGTTCTAAATACCTAACTAATCAATTATAAAAACTACTCCGACAATTCTTAAATTTGAACCTCAGCAATGATGAATTATGGCTCATATAAATATATATATAAGTTTTTACCTTTTTATCAAATAAACACTTTTCATGTATAAAACACTTTCTTTGCAATTTCTTTCTTCAAATATACATAACTATTTGTTTATATGCAATTTCTCTTTCTAAATCTAACTTCAAACATTTGAATTTTTGCCTTTATAACCTCACTCCAAACATACAGAACAAGTTGATATTTCAATTTCATTTTATTACTTAACTTCAAGCAAACAAAACAAAACTTACTTCAATCCCAGCAACGTCTTTTAATATTGCTTTTTAGTAACCTTATACCAAGCAAGCAAAATACAGACATGTCCTTTATACAATTTCTTTCTTTCTTAACTTTACTTTCAACATACAAAACAAACTGTGTTGTGTTTTTTTGTTGTTGTTTTTTTATCTTCTGTTTCTCATAACCAAAAAATCAAACAAATAGAAACTATTTGGTTTTGCAATTTCTTTCTTTGATAGTACTTTTTTTCTTACGTTCCTTGCTTTTAATTAAAGATATAATTTCTACATTGCAATTACATGTAATGTAAAATCAAAATACAAGATGACCGTTTTAGTTATAAAATTTATATATAGTTCAAGCTATAGTTTTAGTTAAGGTACTGGTACATATTAAATCGAAAAACATTGCTTTTGTGAACAAAACACGCTTGTTGGACAATTGGTAGATTGTCCGGTTATATCAGAGGCGACTAAACATTAGCTTTCTGGAAAAAAACACCAGTAAAACACAATAGTCAATAACAATCATACTTATGGTTACATCATTTTCCTGAAACGCTTATCTGAAACATTCCTCCGATAAAATTTACTGCAAATATTGTTACTATTTAAATGTCATCTTTTGAAGAGCATTAAATCATGTAATCTCGTAAAGAAGTTGGAAAAGTTTGACGTTTACGTCATATTTATTATGACACTCATACATCTGCAACTCATACATATATACAAAGATGAAATAAATCATTACATTTTATAAAGAATCTTGTCGCATTTGATTGATTCTTAATGATATTTAGTATTCATATGATGTTTAACTATAGACCTAAACATGTGTGAAGATGACTTTTGTAAATAGGATTATAACACAAAATAAATCTTCTTGATATAGCAAAGTCGTATTTGTTAATAATTACGTAGACAAAAACATGTAAATAAGGCGATTATTCCTTTCCATGTTCATAAAATCTTCCGTATGTTCTGGGAAAGCAAGAATCTTTCGATGGAAAAAATGCTACTTCACTCGACCCTAGAAACGACCTTTGTAGTAACAATCCTAGGTATTATATGTATAAAGAATCAATGGTACCACAACAGTAATGTCTTAAAATACTAAGATAATGCATCGGCGGAGGCCAACGTCTTTATAGTGAGATCAACATACATCACTTGTCAACATCGACAGTTGTCAAACCACAAGTTAATTATATGAAAATTGCAGAAACGGTTAACAAACCAAGACATAATTAGATGACAGTTGCAGACACGGTGTTATTATGTATATTAAAATATATCTATGTATCTAAAATACAATGGATATTGGTTGCTAACTGAGAGCACAGTTCCAATAGTTTTATCAAGAAACAACGTACTGCAAATACAATATATGTCAGAAACCGTTAAAAATATTAACTCAAATAAAATAGAAGTATAAAATCATGCATCAAGCGTAAATCGGGACACGGAAATACAGAAATCTAAAAGGTTATTACAACAGTCCAAAACCTTCCTCTTGTGCAATCTGCCGATAGACAATATATATTTACCCGTTATGTGAATTCTCTGTTACATTTCTAATGTATATTATAATTCGTTAAGGACCTACCATTGTTACTTATACACAGACAAACAGTATAACATATTTAGAAAGCTGTCATTTTTTACCTTAAATTCATTTGTTTACTGTTGATTTTTGTACTTTAAAATAGAACAATCCAGTATGTGCATTTTATCCGTCTGATTAAAGCCTTGAAAGCAATCTAGTATTTAAAATGACTTTTTTTCTGATGAATTAGAAGACGACTAATTTTTAAGGTGATACAATACAAAAATGTTAACTTATCAATATTCAATTAAAACCCGCAGCGTCCCAATATTACATTTATCATTGTCAAACAATTATATGTATAGGAATATATACTTACATATAAGCTATTTCTACATACAAGTATGTTAACCATCTACTGACCCATGCAGTTTGTACACTATTTTCATTAATATTTTTGTTGATTAAAGCCTGACCAAAATTAATAATAATTATACTAATGACTATAACATTAATAACTGAAATATCGCTTTTAAAAGACATACCAGTCTATTACTTGGAAAAGGTAATTTGAGTGTTATTCGACACCTCCAACCACTTTTGGTTGACATCAACACCTTGATATATGGAATACTTTGATTTTCAGGATTGACCTATATAGCTAAATTTAGTTACAGAACAGGTTTGTTTTTCCATTTCAGGACAACATTATGAGTTTCTTAAGAGTTCAAATATCTAAAATTGAATGCCGAAAAGCATGGGAAAGTTTTAAACAGGAGCAGTATTTACTTTTGTTAACATTTCAAATCCACCTAGCGCTGTCTTAAGCAGTTTTCAGTCTTAGTAAACATCTTTCACCAGCCTAACACTACGTTAAACAGTATTTTGTTTT